GACCAGCCAAGGGTCTTCACCCCTCGCCACCTTTCACCCTCATGAAAACACACATACACGCAAATACACTCCAGTTTTTGTTTTTGCATGAAATTGTATCTCAGTCTAAGGTCTCATGCTGTTGCTGCTACTGTCTTACTATTATAGCAACTTTCAGAAGTAATTTTCCAGCCTTTGGAAGTCATGAGCCCACCATTGTTCATTTGTGCACCAATTGTCATCTTTTGATCTTTGAGTTTTTCCCTCAGTGAAGGCTAAATGAGATACACTGATTCTAGGTACATTTTTTAACTTTCTAGAAGAGAAAATCTAACTAGACTAAGAAGATATAGTTTATCAATTCAGAACAAGCAATTGTGGAAGGGTGGTGGCGTGCATATGTAAAGCACATCAGATCCATGCGTGAAGTAGGTATATATCACTAAGCTGTGGCTGGAATTGATTAGGAAGCATTTGGTAGAAGGACTGAACAACTGTTGGGATATATAGATATATATATATATATTTTTAAATTCCTGGTGGATACTGTAGAAGAAGCCCATATCACATGTGGATGTCGAGACTCCCGGGCAATCATGAGCCAGTGAACACTGTTCTACCAAGAAACGAAGGCACATGCACAGCCAAGGTCACTTACAGGGTCTTATGAAACAGTTTGCGCCAGAGAGCATCTTTCCCCCGTGCTTGGAAACCTTTTTTCCTTCTTGACATTTATCACCTCTGATGGCTGAAGAATGTAGACAGGTATAATGATACTGCTTTTCACCAAAATTTGTACACCAAGGTAAACAGGTGTTTGCCTTATTTAATTTTTTACTTTCAGTTCTACGTGAATTAGCTTTTTCTCAGATGTTAAAACTTTGAATGTCCTTTTATGATTTTGTTTATATTGCAGTAGTATTTATTTTTTAGTGATGAGAATTGTATGTCATGTCAGCAAACGCAGCTCCAACCTATATAAAATAGACTTACTGCAGTTTCTTTTGACCCATGTGCAAGGATTGTACACGCTGATGAGAATCATGCACTTTTTCTCCTCTGTTAAAAAACGATAAGGCTCTGAAATGGAATATATTGGTTAGAATTTGGCTTTGGGAGAAGAGATGCTGTCATTTAACCCCTTGGTACTGAAAATGAGAAAATCCCCAACTATCCATGCCAAGGGGTTAATGAAACAAATAGCTGTTGACGTTTGCTCATTGAAGAATTGAAACATGATGATGACCTGGCAACAAAAAGTAATGAAGAAAATTGAGACCTGAGTGATGATAAGAAATGATCTTTACATGGCAAAATGAACACATCTTGAGGATTTAGGAAGTGGGCAGTGAAGGCTAAGAACCTGGTGTGTTTCTTGGGATCATGGTACATTTATCACTGAATTAAGCCATCAGGGAAAAAACAACAAAAAAAGAGAACACCTCCAGCTTTTCTTTTTCTGTATATACTCATGTCCCCAGATTCCAACATTTCTCACTGAAAGGGGGCATGTATGCAAACCTCATCTTTCTCCTTCATTAATGATGATCTTCAGATTAAACCCTTTGGTGCTAGGAGCTGACAATTTCCAAAGCAGCCTATGAAGTCCTAGGGGCTGGGGCCATTCTTGCGGCAAGCAGAAGGCCACCCACTCCGTGGAGTGATCATGGAAATGGATTTTAGTTAAACTCTCTGACAGCTCCCAAATGGAAGACGACAGCGTGATGCAGTATTATGATTGCGTTGTATGAAAGAGCAAGTGACTTTCTAAGTAGGATGAATCATATTCATATGCAGATGTCTTAGCCTCTTGACGCTGGAAGTGTGGATTTATAGCTATGAAACCACTGCTGGCAGTGGGTGGGCCACTGGGACTGACGGGGGTTAAAGGGCATTTTACTAAGGCAGCTAAGACATATTCAGACATCAATGTTATCCTTATTTTTCATATTTCTACCTGAGTGAAGTTCATCCTTAGTATTGAGTAGGAAGTTACAGTAAATGGTAGTTCATTCTTACTTACACACAGTTAATTTTTTTTTCACTTGGAATTATGTTGAATGTTTCATTTTGACAAAAAAGTAGACTAGAAGGTATGTTCTTTAAGTTGTCTTGCATCCATTATATAAGAAAGAAACAGGTGAGAGGAGGAGCAGAAAGCTGAGACTGGCTGATGTTCAGAGCACTCACTCCTCTGGAGGGAAAGCATGGCGCCGTACACTAAGCACATAGCTTTGTGTTGTTTTGGTTTTTTCCCCCAGATCTTAAAGTGATTCCCGTGACCTTGGCCAAGGACACTTGCTAAAGTGTAATGACTGGCACTGACATTGCCCCAGTCGGGCCACTCCTCACACTGGCTCTCAGTCCCCAGCCACGCCTGGGGCTCAGTCACTTCCATTCCAGCCTCTGAGACTCCACTGGGGTCACACAAGGTGTCTTCTTGGCTTTGATTTTGAGAATCCCCTATTTTCACTTCCAGATCTGTCAGCTGCCATGGAGGAATAATAGAAAACCAGAAATGTGTGTACAGGGAGATTTCTAAAACTTCCCTTGTGTCGCCCATAGTTGTAGTTTTGGGTTCTGGCAGGTGGAACACCCTGAAACCTGGAATCATTCTGTGAGAATACAGTTCATACTTTGCAGACTCCAGCCCATACTAACTGTCATGAAGCTTGACTTCTTGTCGTAATGCAGCCATCTTGGAGGAAATTGGCTATTTCTGCTTGGATTGTTGGCAGGGTCACGCTCAGCTTTGCTTTCTACACTAATTACATAGCATTATTCAAGTATTGTTTTCCATTTCCCATCCCTGATTTCCAGCTTCTTCAAGCTGACTGTTCTTGCAGGGGCCACTTGCTTCTCCTAGAGGACAAAAGTAAGGGCCTTCCTTACTAACTGCAGGGTCTCTATATTACACCTCAACGTACACACTTTGCTGCTACTGTTTGTACTGTCCACAGTAGAATTTCCTCATCTTGCTCCTGGTAGTGCATTACAGGCAAGCATGAAATGTAAAGTATTTATTTAAATAAAAAGAAAACCTCTAAATTGGTAATTGAATTACCTCCCTGTAGCTTTATAGTTTGTGACATTTCTTGACCTTGCTAGTTCTTTCATTAGATCTGTGCAAGATCTAGTCATCTGGTTAAGGATTTTAAGCAGATGCAACTATAAACCCAAGAAACTGTATTACTCTTACTGTTGGTCATACTAAAACTGTCTATTTCCTTAAGTATATGGCCCACGAGGATGTGAAATAACTAGGAGAAACTGTTTTTGTACACTGTACATCCTTAGTATTTTTACACGTATATGATAGGGATGAACATGATTTTCCTTCGTGCAGACAGCTTAAATAAAGCACTATGTCAATCTGCTACTTCTCTGTTTATTGTTGTTGGATGTGGTTCTATAATCCCCCCAAATTAAATCTTCTTTAATGAAAACAGATTTTTAATAGCCCCAGCTGGTATTAACCTACCTTGTATAAAATGTGACAGGAAAATATACAAATTCCTTGTAGCTCCCACACACATAGGGGATCATTTTTACTTCAGTGGAATGGTAGTAGTGCGGTTACGCAAACTTTGATGAAGGGCTGCTTCCGAGGGGAGACGCTGACTCTCAGCACTGGATTTAGGACGGATGTTCTGTGAAGCCAGGGATGGAGGAGGTCTCAGACCTTGGAGACATTCAGACCCTCATCATCTATACAACACATGGTTTGGACCCAGAATCTGAAGGAATGTAGCTTGTCATTAATGTCTTCCTGATAATGTACTGCTCTGCATACTTCCTTTCTTAGAGTGTATTTCTAACACGTCATGGCAAATTAACAAACTTCGACACGGGTGATGTAGATGGGTAGGACGGCTGGACTGCAGTCTGACTTCACGTTGAATCATTCTGGATGGGGCCTTTTTCTGATTTTACCTCATAAAGCTACTATTGTAGAAACTTGGCTTTGCTCCTGTGATGAAGCCAGACAGAGGAATGGCTTTTGGGACCAGAGTGAGTCAAGCGCGTATGTGTACGTCACACAGCCAAATTTGAGAGCATTCTCACATGTGCTCTTCTCTCAAAACCACTGGGGTTGACAGATCCAGGAGGCTAAAATAAAGTGACCTCTATAATTCTTTAAAGGTGCTATTTTTAGAATATTGTATAATTTATTCACAGTATATCTAAAACAGAATTAAGGACAATTAAAATATCTTATGTGACAGCCTTTATGTCTAGCACATTTGATGAAAAACTTCTGAATCTGAATAGAAGTTCTACTGTTTCAGGCTTGAGCCTTTTACACGCTCAAGAGATTCGAATGGTCTGTGTGTGTAGATCATGCCACCGCCTCCAAAGCCTAGTCCACACCACTTCTGAGAGGCAAGGCTGAGCGTGTGGTGACATCCGCTCTGTGTTGAGATGGGGATGAGGATGACGGCTCGCTGGCCAAGCAGGGTAGCCGAAGGTCAGGGACCTGTCCCAACTGCAGCCTTGCCTTTAGTGTTTGTCATTCCCAGATACAACACAGTATGTCCAGTGTCCATTTTTATTACTTTAAAGCATTTGAGGGCTTAACTATGTATAGTAGAAATACTATTTTAGACAAATAATTATCTGTGTACAGATATTTGATATACTCTAAGTAAATTTTCTAATTTCACTAAGTACGTTTTTAGGCTCCTCTCAAATACTGCATATTGAAGAAAAAAAATCTGACACCACCGAGCCAAAGATGCTTTTTTGTCTGTTTTCGTTGTTTAACAGAATGGAAAGAGTAATGCATAGTGCTTCCTGGTGTCTCCTGATTGATTGATTGTACACAAATTAGGACAATAAATAAAATGGAGTCTGATGGGACATTGATTAAAGGTGAAGGATGATATATAGATCATGAAAAGAAAAATGAATGGCAGGAAAAAAAGTTTGGTCCTTAATATACTTTGGCCTAGTTAAAATATGTGCCTTTTTGGTGTGTTTTGTTCATCACTACAAGATAAAAAGGAAACATTACAACTCAAGTCTTTAAAAAGTTCATTTATTGAAAATCATATGTATAACCTAGCATACGAATGAGCAGATTGAAACACGTAACTTCAAGCCATTTCTGAAAACATACACCAGGAGCTCTGCTCATCTGGAGTCAGACTCCAGCTCCAGCCCGGCTGCGTGCAGGGATGGCGCACGTGCTGAGGAGGACCAGCCCCTACAGGCTGAGGCGGTGTCACCCGGGGAAGGTCGTGGTGCGTTGTGGCATATTCAGTCTAAATCAGATGAATGTAAATATCTCTTTGTAAATCATTTATTTCACTCTGTTCCATCCAGGTCAGCAATCAGATTGTGGCATGCTGGGTAACTGGAAAAAATAATAAAAAGTAAGTTTCAATAGCTCATGTTCTTCAATGTGATTTGTCTTCTCATTTGCTGGTTTAGTCACCTTTTATGATGAAAACTGTTGGAGAAAAAAAACCTGTTGCTAAAAATGTGGAAATTATATGAAAAGTTTGTGCCTCATCTTGTCCACATCAAAGCCCTTGTCACATACGAAATAAGGTTAACTGGTTTAATGGGTTAAATTTGAAAACAACCTAGACTACAGACACTCGTGCCTCTTAAATAAGGACAGGCTGGTGTTAGGACATGGCCAGAGAGCCATCTCTTCTCCTCTCCAGGAAAGGACACATTGATTTGTGCCAGAATCTGTTTACTGAAAATTTTTCAGACCTTACAGCAGGTAATTCTAGAAGAAAAACAGGGTGTAGGCCAAGTGCCCCTAAGAAATTCCTCCTGAAACAAAACAAGCTGAAACATCTCCAGATTTATAGCTGCAAATGATTTATTGTCACATATAAAAAGTATTTTCACATGGAAACCTCGAACCTCCCATGTGTTGGAAGAGGGGACTGGGTGTACTGAGGTCTCTCAGTTTTACAGATACAAATGTTCCGAAGCTGCTTCATGCGAATTGGGTTGAGGGAGAATTCCAAGTTCAGAAAGTATTGAATACTGTTCCTGGCCTCTGCTGCCATGGCTGCCCAAATTAGTTTAAACTACATCAGGAACTAGAGTCAGAAGCCACTGGAAAGGGTTCTGTTCCACACAACATGGCTGGAGTTTCTGCTCTGCACTGTGTGGGAAGGTGACTGGGCCACAGTCCTCGCCCTCTAGAGTGTAAAGTCCAGGGAAAGCCAAGACGGTGTTTTCCAAATCCCGGTTTCCGCATCAGTTACACTGGCACGCACTGCAGGGCCAGGCGCCCAATCTGGTCCCTCCGTAGTTAGGAACCATCTGCCAAAAAGAGAAGTGGGCCTGCTCCTCCCCAGTGAGGATTTTCCAAGCTAGACTCCAAGGGAGGACTCTGTCAACCTACTTTAAGCCGTCATTATGTGGGGATTTCCAAGACAGGACAATGAGTGAAACCGAATCTGCATTCAAGAGAAATATACGAACATCAGCCCGTTGCCTTTTACAAGAAATGAGAAAAAGTAATGTTTCCATTTCAAGTAGATTTCCCAGTGTGTGAGAGGCCCTGAGGACAGCTTTTTCTTGAACAGGTCTGTGAGTAGTGGGGGGGTCTCAGCAGGGTAGTTAGAGTAGCTGGGGGGCCTGGCCTCGGGCTGAATGCAGGTGGGGCTCTGGCAGGAGGCCTCACTCCTCCTGGTAAACCTGCCATCCGATGCGCACAGCCCTCGCAGCCTGTGGAGCCAGGTGAACTAGTTCCTGGGCCCACAGGGTGCCTTGTTCTCCAGGCCCTTTCTGAGTGGCCCATGGGGAGTCCACCCCGTGCGCTATGCCCTAGAGCCCTGCCATTGCAGAGGGGACTCCCTTCTATCCTCCGTGCGATACTCACAGCAGAGACTGCCACCAATGCAATCTGATCGTCAGACACATGGTTTGCACCAAGCTGACCTGCCTTCCAGGCCAGCGGATCGAACTGACCCAGCACAGTCCTGCTAAATGACTGGTTTGAATGGCCCTCCACCCCTGCTCCATGGACTGGCCACGTAGGGCAGGTGGCCTGGTGGCCTCGCTCTTGACACAGTGGCTTCCTAACCTTAGAAATGCTAGGATGACTCTGAATACAAAAAGGGTAAGCATAAATCCCAACAGATAACACTTCAAAAGAAAAACAGCCCAACTCTCAGCTTAGCACAATGGCTTACACCTGTAATCCCAGCGCTTTGGGAGGCTGAGGCAATAGGATCGCTTGAGTCCAGGAGTTGGAGACCAGCCTGGGCAACAGAGCAAGACCTCATCTCTACAGAAAAATTGTACAAATTAGCCACGTGTGGTGGTGCACACCTGTAGTCCCAGGGACTCAAAAGGCTGATGCAGGAGGATTGCTGTAGCCCAGAACTCAAGGCTGCAGTGAGCTATGATCATGCCACCGCACTGCAGCGTGGGTGACAAAGCGTGACCGTGTCTCTTAAAAAAAAAAAATGAAAAAAAATTGAATTTTGGGTAGAAAACACACCCCCCCACACACAATACAGAACAGGCGTGAAAACCTGAAATAAAAGTAAAACGTGTTGCGGAATTTTCTGATAAGCTCCAGGAAACAGGCAATTCTCATGGTGAGTCTACATAATGCCTATGGGCTCCCAGGCCACCTAGCAATTTGTCAGTATCGGAGCTGTTCGCTGCTGGCACTCAGGTGACCTCCTCATTCCGTGGGCCTGCACGGGAGTGACACAGATGTGTGGGCCTCACCGGGAACTAATAGAAGTCAGCCTGATTCCTTCCTGCGGCAGACCGGACGTGACCGTCTGCATGGGCTTTGAATTTCATGCGGCTCAGGTGAGAAGCTCTCTACCCATCCCCACTTTCACACTGTCAAACTCACCGTCCGCTGCGCAAGCCCCCGTGCCTGCAGCCGTGCCTGGCCCATGGAGAGCGTTCAGTCAGCACTGGGGGGCTGGATAATCTATCCTAGGAGCTCACCGTTTTGTCGCCTCCGTTTGCTGACTCTTCGGTACCACACACTCCTCTGACCCTGCAGCATGTCCCGAGACAGAAGTCGTAGTTACTGCCCACATCTGGCTTATCTGCCGTTAGGGATATCCATGATGCTTATTTCCAGAAGGCCCTGTCATCAGCACCGCAGTGGCCGTGGTCTCGCTGTCCAGGAAAGCAGCGCGTGCGTATGCCAGCGGGACCTGAGCCCTCAGCCAGTGTCTCCCATCCTTCTGCCCCTTCCATTTGTCATCATGGCCCTGCTGTGGCCCTCCTGTGGCTGCCCCGCAGCACACTGGCCACGGCTCCCCTGCCGTGCTGTCCACAGGTGGCGGAAATGCACCCCCAGCTGCGGGCACACAGCTGCTAACCCATTTTCTTTGTTCTCGTTTTAGTCTTCTCTCCACAAACCCTGCCTCGTTCATTTCTGAAGTTTGTTAAGTTCTGAGTGTAAGAAATGAGTTGCTCTGGGTGACCTGAACTGTTCCCCGGGCAACCACGCTGTGGGGTCCAGCCAGCCTTTTCTGCTGCTTTGTTCCCAAGCCAGCCAGAGAGGCCAGAAGTGGCAGCCCGGGGAGATGGTGGCACCCCTCGCCCCTGCTCACGGGAGACCTGCCCGGGCTTCCCACTTCATTCTCTCTGTGGGTGGCTCTAGCCAGCCCTTCTGAAGGTAACATCCCCTCCCCGCCGCTATCTGCTCTGTCACTGGCGTGCTGCCTCTGTTTGGCCAAGTCAAAACATGGTCCTGGTTCCTTGTGTGTCTGGCAATAAAGCATCCATTTGTAACTGGAGAGGGCAGACCCCTCCCCCATCTCCATCTGGGGCATTTCAAAGCTGGCCCTGAGTTGACAGAGCTCCAGGGCAGCCCCTGCCTCGCTTGGTGGCTCGCCTCCCGCCTCCGCCTCGTGTTCTGGGCGCCAGAGCTAGGGCTCGGCAGCTGTTCCAGCCAGGCCCGGCTCCGCCCGCACCCGCTCGGGTACCTGCCCCCATCCACACATCCTGTGGCCTGAGAAGAAGTTCATTTCCCTGCCCAGCCACTTCCCAATTCCATTCACTTCATTTCTCTGAGCCTTATTTTTCTATGTACAAAATGGTTATTTATCTCAAATGGCCCTTTCAAACCCACAATGATCTCAGCACTAATCCTGCTGGTTTCATAACCATCCGTGCTGGGCTCTGGGTGATATCAGGCACTTCCTTTTAAAGGGAAGCTGGTTCTTTTTTCTTTTTCTCTGCCAGAAATCAAGTGACATGGAAGCTAACACATGTCTCTGAGGCGACGCAGAGCTGAGATTCGAACCCAGGCAGTTTGACCTCAAAGTCCAGACTCCCATGCAGGACTCTCCCGCTTGCTCTAGCAGATGAGGGGGAGCCAGTTTGATATCTACGGAATTAACCTGCCAAACTGGGCAGGAAACCTGGATGAAATAAGCCACGTGAGCTCTGGCTTGCCACCAGTGCAGTGAGGAGGTGCCCTCAGCATGCTGGGCAGAACCTTGTGGAAGCACAGCCTTCGAGCAGGACCGCCCACCTGTTAGAAGGGAGTATTCCTCTACAGAGCTGAGGGGCGGTCGGCCACCTTCAGGCCCCCGCGGCCCTGCTGTCCCCAGCACAGTGACTGAGGTTCTCGCTGAGGGCCTCATCCCCTCCAGGTCAGGCCTGTCCAGGAACCTTGCCCTGTCAGCTGCAGAGCAGGGCAGGAGCTGATGATTAAAACCATCCCAGGGCAGCGGCCACTCTTCCCTCCTGGCTGCCCAGCTGGGCCTCTGACAACAGCAGCCACACGGCAGTCAGAGTTCAAAGCCCTCCTTCCACTGCAGGCCTTGGCTTTGCTGCTTCTGGGCTCCGAGAAAGGAACGGGGCCGTAGAAACCAGAGAAATGGTAAGGCAGCCACAGAGAAGGCCGCCTTGCAGACACGAAGTGGGACTTCCATAAGACAGCATCTCTAGCTGGACTTGAGGGGGAGAGGGAGGCCCCAGCACACAGGAGGCTGGGGTGGAGGTCCTGGCTCTGAGGTGCCGCTCGCCTCCCCAGGGTGCACCCAAGCCCAGGGGTTCCTTCCTAACCATGGGGTCTGAGTTTGTCATCTTCCAGCTTTCTCAAGTCCCCTGAGTCATCAGAACTTCCTCTCCACACAGGCAGGTCTGTGTTTTATATGAACCATGTTTCCATGGTAAATAGATTTTAAGAATTCCCAAAGGACAGACAGTGTCACCAACAGCAGAGAGTGGAGCCTCTGGCTGCCTCATGTTTGAAAGTGTTAAAAATAAAGACAACACTGACATTTGGGGTTGTAATGTGACGGAATTACAGTCTTTTAAAGGCAAGAACCACTGATCTACACTACATGTAATATTCAGTGTTTTGTTCACTTGTCTAATTGGATTAAAATATTTAGCTCCCTTTAAAATCTTGATTGTGAATTTATATTGCAAAATGTAATGTCTGACTCAGGAAGCAATAAGTAGAGCAAATGTATCTGAAGGAATATAAAATTCAATGCACTTTTCTCCCATGATTCTCATTCTGAAAGTACTCTCTCTTGGACAAAGTGAACTGCTAACGGAAGAGCAAGTCTGGCTAAAATGAAGCCCTGCGCGCTTTTCAGTATTAGACACAGGGTGCTCAGTCAAAAAAACACGAAGTTTGACTCTCTGCTGCTGGAGGTGTTTGGGGAAGTTTCGCCGAAGGTCGCGAGATGCTCATGTTAGACACGCAGCACCCGGGGCCTCGTGTCATTCTTTAAACACACTCAGGCAGCAGGGAGTTAATGACATTTTAGCTGCATATGTTCAAGTTTATTTAAAAAAATATGCAAGTCACTTTGGTTGACAGTGTCTTGTACACAGTTTTGAAAGAATCAGGGCAAACTTTAACAGAGTCAGTTTTTATTTGAAAAATATTTTCTGGGAATGTATCAGTGTTTATTTTTGAGACTGACAATTCGGGTGAAAATCAGGATAAAAACAAAAAAACAACAATTTGGTTGAAATCAAATTGTTTGTTTTCATCTATTTAGAATTCTTTCCAAAAAATCTTGGTTCAGGAGGAGGCTTTTTAATTTATTTTATTCAGTGTATTTGCTGTTCTATTCAAGCACCATCTGTCTTACAGGTAGCTAACTTTGTGGTAGCTCCTAAGTCAGCTGGGCGAGGCCCCCAGGGCTCCTGGAAGGACCACAGTAAATTAAGTGACACCTCCAAGGCCTAACATGGGCAGCCTGCAGCAGCTCTGCCTTGCAGGCAGGCCTCCCCAGCAGGGAGTGTTGGTCCCCTGGAGCTGTCACTTTTCTAGAGCCTCCCTTCTCCCTTTGCTTGCAGTCGCAATGGGCCTTTCCTCCTTCATCATCTTCTGTGTCTCTGCGTCCCCTGCTTGTTTTCGGCTCTCTTCTATGAGTCCTTTGGTATAATGAGATAATGTCGATGATCTTGAATATAATCACATATGGCTGCTGGATCCATGCACAAGTTTAAATCAAATTAGAAAGTAAATTCACTGCCAAGAATGCTTAAAAGTCATAGGGCCAACTGATTAACCACTGACAAGTCAGTTTCCGACTCTGTTTTCTAAACTGTAAGTGATTCATATGAGGGGACTAAAAGGGAATCACTCCCCAGACTGAACACTGCAGACAGAACCAAACAGCCTACTTAGGATACGACGGCCATCAGAAAATGCAAGTCAGCTGAGACGTATTCATTACCAAATAAGCACGCAGACACAGAAAATCAGCTTGATGGTTGAGACCATCCTCTAAGTGGACAGATAATTTCTGTTTTCCCCTCTCCCAGATGCCATTCTCCCCAAGACTCCTATTTCCTCACCAGCCGGCTCCAACCTTCCTAGCCAGATGTTAGAGCCCCCGGCGCTAGGTTGCAGACCCCTGACCCTGCTCCAAGCTGTCAGGCCCTGCCCAAACTCCCCCAGGACCCACTGACCTCACCCCGAATCCCCTCCCTCCCGGCCCCCACCAAGGTTTCAGCCTCCCCCAGCCAGGGCCGCCTCTCAACAAGAGGTGAGAGTGTGACTACCCAGTTTCAAACAAAACACAGGCCAGAGTGTGTCCCTGGAGGCCCTGACCCTCTCGCAATAGAGTGCGGGGAACTGCGTCTAGGCAAAGCTGGCCAAATGCTTCAATGTCTGTTCTCCACAAGGAGAAGAGCGAGCCATTTCATGACATTTAAAAGCCATTTTCTTGAAGTTGTTTCCCCCGGGTGAGGCAGGAGATCAATGATGCCATTATTTGTAGTCACCCAAAACTAAGAACAAGCCAAGAGGCCGGGCACAGTGGCTCACGCCTGTAATGCCAGCACTTTGGGAGGCAAAGGGGGGCAGATCACCTGAGGTCAGGAGTTCGAGACCAGCCTGGCCAACATGGAGAAACCCAGTATTTACTAAAAACACAAAATTAGCCTGGTGTGGTGGTGGGCGCCTGTAATCCCAGCTACTTGAGAGGATGAGGCAGGAGAATCGCTTGAACCCAGGAGGCGGAGGTTGCAGTGAGCCAAGACCATGCCATTGCACTCCAGCCTGGGTTACAAGAACAAAACTCATCTCAAAAGAAACACAGCCGGGCGCAGTGGCTCACACCTGTAATCCCAGCCCTTTAAAAGGAGGCTGAGGTGGGCGGATCATCTGAGGTCAGGAGTTCGAGACCAGTCTGGCCAACACGGTGACACTCTGTTTCTACTAAAAATACCAAAAAATTAGCTGGGCATGGTGGTGGGCGCCTGTAAACCCAACTACTTGGGAGCCTGAGGCAGGAGAATCACTTGAACCTGGGAGGCAGAGGTTGTAGTGAGCAGAGAGAGCACCACTGTACTCCAGTCCAGTCTAGGTGATGGAGCGAGACTCCGTCTCAAAAAACAAAACAAAACAAAGCACAAGCCAAGCCATGAGCCGAGAGCTGTAGCCAGTGGCCTGAGCCCTGCCCACCGCAGACGGCCCCGGGGAGGGGAGCGGGAAGGGTGGCAGGTCTCGTGGCCAAAAGCATCCATGTGGCAGATACCACTACCAGGGGCTCCCTCTGCCAGCCATGTCGTTTTGAGTATTTCAGAATTCAAGCAGAAACAAGTTAGAATAATGAAGCCTGCTAACAGGCTAGACACTTGCTGTCAGAGGCCACAGGCCAGCCTGAGCCCCACCACCAGGGGCAGCAGGGCTCAGGACCCAGGACAGGGAGTGAAGGAAAGGGATGGACTTTGCTTTGGAACCGCTGCCCGACCCATTCTCTTCTGGGTATTAAGTGGACAGAGATGTTTAGAGTTAGACATGCAAAATTAAGTTAAGCTTAACTTATCCAGGCTGAGAAAATGGAAGCCTTTAGTTAAACCATCTCTAACCCGGACATGAGGACAGCTCTACCCTCAGCTGCCCAGGATCTGGACCTGCAGGCCACTCCAGGAACACAGACAGGCTGGCTGAGCACTCCAGAGCCCGCAGGCGGCACCTCCTCCAAAATACCTGCTTGAACCTACAGCAGCCTCGCTTACATCACGGCTCAGCAGAAGCCTCACTCACAAGCTGGTTCCGTGACAAAAAGGCATTGCAGGGGCTGAAGCCCACTGACAGCCCCTACCTAGAGGTGAAGGCCAGGCTCAGCCAGAAAAAGCGGGCTCTGGGTTTAGATATTCCGCAGAGCGCTTCCAAACCTGGATCCCTGCCTCCTCTCTGACCACTAGTATTTGCAACTGAAAGCCAACATTCCCTCTACCAAATTTCTTTTGTCATGTTCATATTAAAATAACTCCAAGTGTAATATTTGAATCTGAAAGGCCGCTTTAGAGATGAGCCAGATGGGCCAGTATCGGATAGCACAGGATGGGCAAATCATTGCTGTTGCTTCAGGCAAAAGAAGAAAGACCTGCTAGTTTTTCTGAGGATTTTTTGAGGTTCGGGGTTTTTTTAATGCATTTTGTGAAAATTTTGCAACTCACTTGGCATAACCAGATTTTTAAAGCCCTGGAAGAGGCTTCTAAGCATCGGTGATCCATGTTAAGATCTAAGTGTGCTGTAAAGCAGGCAGATGGGGAGTTAAAAGGCAAAGCCCACGTTCTCCTGACCTAGTCCAGAGCCCAAAGGAAGCTGCCCGTGTGCTTCAGCTTCCATGGAAGACTCCCCACAACCTGAGGTCTGACCGAGCTCTTGGCTTTAGAGGCCAAAGATTCACGCATGCCAGGAGTCACGGTCCCTCCCTCCTATGTGGCAAGAGCCTAGTCACCTGCCAGGAGACCTAGTGGCCCCAGTGGCCCTGACCTTTGGCTAGCCAGGCCTAAAGCAGATGCCGCTGGGGCCCTCCCTGGGGACCTGCCCACAGGGCTGGGTTCTGAGCTGGGTCTGGTGGAGGATGAGGGGGTCATCCTGAAAGCAGAGGACAGGGGAGTGGCGCTGGTCCTACGGCTGCTGCTCTGCAGGCCTCTGCCTTCCCTGAACCTCTCCCAGGACCCTCTGAAGATGAGGGAGAAAGGAAACACCCTCACATGTCCAGCCTGTGTGCCCCAGGGCCTGTGGGGCATCCCGCCTGCACTCAGCACACCCATAGCCGGTGAAGCCAGGCGTGCACCATGCCCACTGTGCAGAGGAGAAACTGAGGCTGGAAAAAGGCTTAAGTTACTTGTCCGAAGCGGGGGTGGGGGCTTCAGCACAGTGACACAGACTGGAATAATTCTCTGTTCTTTCCAGCTCCAAACACTTCGAAGGTTTTCAAAATGTAGTGTCCTCCAGAATCACCCCACCAGCTTGGCGAAATTCGGGTTCGAGGACCCTGCCGTGGAGCACGCCGGGCGAGGCCTCGCCTCCTAGCTTAGCAGTGGCAGTGCGGCTGTGGCTAGGACTTTGAGCGGCCTGCTCCCCCCACGGTCCTGGTGAGCAGTCCCGGGACTGCATGGGGACACACAGGCGTTTCCACCTCCAGGCCTTAGCTCCCTGGCGCCTGGCTGTGCTCATTTACTGCCTGTGAACACATGTTTTGCAGAGGGATTTTGGGCTGAGTGGGAAAAGTCAGTACTTACAGGTTCCTTGAGCACAGGGTCATTTTGTAAGGAGAATGAGACTCCTCTTCGTTTCCATTTCCAGATGCATTTTTCCTATTCATCACTCCAAGCGTGTATTGCCTGAAGTCCCCAGGGCACTCACAGAGCACCTGGGTGCAATCCTAATGAAAGGCGGAGGCCTTGGTCAGCCCAGGACCGCCTCATTATCCTAACAAACTGCTTGATGGGGCAAAATGCACAGCCTCTCTAACAGGCAGAGAAGCGATTTAGAAAACAAGAGGTTTCATACCGCGTTCAAAACTCACCAGACACTTTCCTTCCTCCCTTTTCCCTGCTGGTGGCCCTGGATCTCACCTGAATGGGGAAAGCCTGGGCTGTGGAGTCAGGCTCAGGTTCCATTTGTGGTGTCCCTACCTACCAGCTGTAATGCTTGTCTGGGCCTTGGTTTCCCTATCTAAAACATGGAGACAATAATGTCAGCACCGCCGGGTTGTTCAAGGGTAAAGGGAATTAATGCATGCTGTGTGACACTGCCGGGTGCTCTGCAAGCACTCCAGATAGTAGCCCAGTAATCAGCTAATTTAGGACAAGATGCCTGCATTCCATTCAAGACGACTTTGCTAATTGAGAACACCTCTTTCCTCAACCAATTCAAACCATACACGACCTCCAGAGGCAGCTCAAGGCCACCCTCCTCCAAAAAGCCTGTTCTGCCGGCCACGGCCGTCCTCCCGCTTCTCCCTGCTCTCGCACCCTCCGCGGCCTGCACAGCGCAGCTTGGCACTTGGTGTGGTTCGTTCATTCGCGGGCCTGGGTCTGTTCACCTGACAGACTTTAACCCCCTCACCAGGACGGGCGCATGGCTCCGCTTCTCTGGGTCCTGCACTGCCCGGCACAGTCGTCAGGACCTCCCTCCCAGCTTACTGCTAACCGATGTGATCCGTGGGAAAGCCGGCCTGTTGAGCTGCATAAAAGGCCCACCTGTAGACTCCCGCGTGTTCTTAGGTGGGCTGAGCCCGCCCAAGGACTCCCACCTGCGCCGCGTTCTGCACAGTACCTGGGTCCGCAGCCGGTCCACCTCTTCCGACAGGCTCTGCCTTTCCAGGAGAAGCTGGTTCTGCTTGTTGAGGAGCTGCACCAGCTGCTGGGCTGTGGCCTGGCTGTGCTTATCCAGCTGCCTTAGCCTGAAGAAAAATCCACCGCAGAATTAAAGAGGGATAACGTCAGCCTTTCAACAGGCCCAGGGGCTGTGTGTATCTGAGGGAAGCCCCTGCTAGGGAACCATAAGCAGGACGCCCAAGGTGACCCTGAGGTGCCAGGCTCTGGCTAGCAGTGGGCCCTTGGTAAGCACTGTGTGAAGGTAACATTCTAGCAAATGTGCGTGGGAACTGGGAGCCATCTCAGTACACTATCAATTAGAAAACACGCAGATAAGTGGGGTAACTAGAAGAAAAAAGGAAACTTTGAACTAACAAGTACAGGTCAAAGATGAGGGCCCAACTGCCGCCATTGTTCAGCTGGAGAGGTCTCTGGCAGGCTGAGCGGACGGCCGCCCCGGCTGGGGACGTGGGTGAGGGCCGTGGAAACACTGAAGTAAGGGTTTTCCATTATTAATCACTCAGTCAATCACGAGCTCCGGCATCGCTGACCAGATGTCTTTAAAGATCCTAAATTTGTCATTCTGCTGATGGGCGCTCCTCTCCAGACGTGCTAATTCACTCAGACCATTATCCTCATCTGTCCACAGTCGGCTTCCTACAGCCAGCAGCACACTCGCTCACGGAACTGCTGGCTTTGGATTAAACTGGGAATTGAACGACGACCCAGAGTGTTCTGGAAAGCAGCGAGATGTGTGGCCTGCCTCACGTCCTCACCCGTCAAAAGCACCAGCAGCCACGTTAACTCGGAGTCGCACAAGGAAAAGGCCATTAAAGCTCAAGGTGCATTTCAAACTCCAGGCCCATGAGCCGAAGACCTCGGGGGCCGTTCTGCGGACACCGGCCTCTGGCTGCCCTCAGTTCGGCTTCTCCTGGGGCTCCGAGCACAACCAAACACTGACACGGCCACATGTTTGGGCCTTGGGATAGGTTCCTTCACAGAAAAGGCCGCACATGCGGGCACAGGAACCACTGCCCTCTGGGAAACCCGGCGATGGTGGCACCTTCCTCCCGCGCAGCGCTGCTCGGCCCGCGCCCTCCCATTTCCCCACGGCTACTCCGGCCCTGCCCCACCGCCCTTCTCAGCCTCCGCTGGGCTGGGCTGGAGGCTTTGGTCAAGGGGCCCGAGCCCCCAGCCCTGGCCCTTCCCCAGAACGCACCGGGACTCCCCGTTTTCAGCCATGCCCAGCGTTGCCCGGTCTGTGGGGCGCCCTACCTGTGCCGGGGAGGCGGGGGCGGCAGTCTAGGCCCCAGCCCGGGCAGAGCCGGCACTGCGCATGCTCCCAGGAAGCCCCGCCCCCCAGGCTGGGCGCCTCCGAGTGGCCTCGCCCACGATCCGCACCACCGCCGCCCCTCCCTACCCCGCCAAGGGCCTCCTGCTGCCCGCAGGTTCTGGGGAAAGTGTAAGGACCCAGGGACGCCCTGGCGCCTCTTTCAAGCCTGGACAACAGCCTAACCCTGCCCTGCCTCCAGGATCAGGCTGGCCTCAACAGAACAGCAAAGATCTTCCATCCAAGTAGGAGTGTTTCCCTGTGTGTGTGACATACATACATGGTGATGCTCCAACACCCTACCCCATCCCATCCTATCCCATCCCATCCCATCCCACCTCATCCTACCCCATCCTTCCCTCTGATCTTGGAGGAAAAGTAGGTTTCCTTCTGGCGATACCTAAGGCCATAGCTGCTTTGGGAAGCCTCATCCGCCCCTACCCGTCCCCATCACGCTGGGGCTGAGGCAGCCTTTCCTGGGAGCTACTCTCAAAGCCACCGCCCTGGAGCAGATCACAGAAGCTCTCCTGCATGGCCCCGGGAGCCCGGGCTGTCCTTAGCAGCGAGTGGCCGGGAGAGAGGAGGACGTCCCGGTCCAGCGGGCTGGGGAACCTGCCTAGGCCGACCCTCTGACACAGGCAGGCGGCCACGATTCATCTGAGCACCTGCCCTGCTGTAGGGCCCAGGAGTGGGTCCCGTTGAAGAGACAGAGATGGTAACAGCTCTTTTCCTTGAGAAGCAGACAATCCGATGCTTCGTATTTAAATCAGCAGGTGAAATACATCACTAGCCCTTGAGCTCTAGAACCCTAAGGTGGCTTTTCCCCTCCGATGAAGGCCTACCTGTGGAGAGAGCCACTGGCTAAGAGCAACTGAGGTGGTAGCCCTGTGGCTTCCTGCTTGCTTGAAAATAATGGAACAGAAACGTGACAAATGACACCACGACATGACTGCATAGCAAGAAGGTGCCGCGAGCAGCCACTGTCCATGTGGTCCCTTGCCCTGTGCTAGGATCAAACAGGATGATGGTCCTTTGGACCAATGGGTTCGGTATGTGGTTTTGAACTCCTAAAAAGGGATGGCAGCCTATCCAGGGCAATGGGCAGGGCCAGAGCCGCTCTCACAGCATAAACGCCGGGCATGGCAGGCCACCCTGGCTCCACCTTCAGCGACGGGGGTTCTAGGCCGGTTCCGGCCTAGACCTTCCTCCTATGGAGCCCTCAGAACCTGGAGGAGGCTTAGTCCAGAGTGCTTTGCAACCTGGGGCCCTGGGAAAGCTATAGAGATTACTGGGGTGGGGAGGAGGAAGGAGACACCACCCAGACCCGCTGAATCAAGTGCCTGGGTGTGAGCCCCGCAGGACAGCAGGGGACCAGCTGACCAGGTTTCCACAGAAGCACCCCTGCTGTGAGGAGTGAGATCCCTGAGGAGGGACAGCCCTCCCTTCACAGCTAAGAGCTGAGGATGGATTCCCATTGACTCCATTTTTAAACCAACTTGAAGACTCCCTATATTACAAATACTGGGAAAAGAGTTTTTTTTTTTTTTTTTGGAGACAGAGGTGTGCTCTTGTTGCCCAGTCTGGAGTACAATGGCACGATCTCGGCTCACTGCAACCTCCTCCTGGGTTCAAGCAATTCCCCTGTCTCAGTGTCCCCAGTAGCTGAGACTACAGAAATCCACCACCACGCTCAGCTAATTTTGTATTTTTAGTAGAGATGGGGTTTCTTCATGTTGGTCAGGCTGGTCTTGAACTCCCTCGCCTCGGCCTCCCAAAGTGCTGGGATTACAGGCGTGAGCCACCGCACCCGGCTCGAGACTTTTTTTTTTTTTTTTTTATGGAGTCTCACTCTGTCGCTCAGGCTGGGGTACAGTGGCTCAATCTTGGCTCACTGCAACCTATGCAGCCCTGGTTCAAGCGATTCTCCTGCCTTAGTCTCCCAAGTAGCTGCGATTATAGGCTCCTGCCACCGTGCCCAGCTAATTTTTGTATTTTTAGTAGAGACAGGGTTTCACCATCTTGGCCAGGCTGGTCTTGAACTCCTGACCTCGTGCTCCACCCACCTCAGCCTCCCTGAGTGCTGGGATTAAAGGTGTGAGCCACCGCACCCGGGGGAGATTTTTTTAAAGTTGTTTATTTTTGGAAGAGCCTCCAACCCTGCACAAACCAGCCTACCCCTCTGTTAATGGATGTCTCATTGCCGTCATTCAGAAGAGATTGCTTGGGGTGTCCTAGACACTTAGGCTCTCTTTTCTTTTCCATGGTGGTTACTGCTCTCTCATATTCGTGGTCCTGAGTTCACCTCTTCATCCACCCACAGTTTCAAATAGCACCTCTGATGACTGCTAACACCTACTGAGCCCCTGGGCTCACTGCGCCACAATGACCTATGTAAATTTAATTGATTAATCAATAAACTACCTATTACATTCAATAATTATCTTAATTAAAAGTTCACTACAGTCCTGGGAGGTACATGCTAGTATCATCCCCATTTGACAGATGAGAAAACAAGCTGAGATGTTGATTAACTTGCACAAAGTCACACAAGTAATCGGTAGAGCTTGGAGTCAAATCCAGCCAGTGCCCAGGTGTCCTTAACCATTGTTAATGGTGGTTAACTCACTTAATTCACTAAATGAACCAACCCTTGGTAAACACCTTGTTTTGTTTTGTTTTGAGATGGAGTCTGGCTCTGTCACCCAGGCTGGAGTGCAGTGGCATAATTTTGACTCACTGCACCCTCTGCCTCCTGGGTTCAAGCGATTCTCCTGCCTCAGTCTCCCAAGTAGCTGGGACAACAGGTGCATGCCACCACACCCGTCTAATTTTTATATTTTTAGTAGGGACGGGGGTTTCACTATGTTGGCCAGGCTGGTCTCGAACTCCTGACCTCATGATCCGCCCACTTCTGCCTCCCAAAGTGCTGGGATGGCAGGCATGAGCCACTGCACCCAGCCAACACCTCTTAAGGGTCAAGTACTAATTTAGGTCCTGGGAGTCCATCAAGAATGACAAATGCTCCCCGCTCTCGGACGGTTCCTGGCCAATGGAGGAGACTCACTTGTAAAAAAACATGCTCAACTCAAACAGGACACTGAGGCATGAAGAGAAATGGCCAATATTGCAGATGAGAAGCCTGGGCGGGCTTGCGCCTGCTTAGGCGTGGCTCATCATCATCATATGCTGAGCACTTACTATGTCCGGCACTGGACTTACTGTTTGGCACTCACAATTCCATGAGGCAGGAACTAATTATTATGCCACTTTAAGGATGAGGAAACAGAGGCACAGGCAACATGAATTATTCATTCAAAGTCACTCAGCGGACAAGCTGGGATGGGAAAGGATGAGTGGGTGCTGTTCTGGCCAGGGCCAGGGGCGGGGCCTTCCCATGTGGGGCCGGCAGTGCAAAGGCCACTGCCTATCTGGAAACTGCAAGCTGTGCAGTGTGGCTGGACCAGAGGCTGCAGGCTGCTCAGAGGGAGGTGACGCTGGACTCTGTAGCCAAAAAAACAAGTATGGACTTCGTCCTGCAGGCAATGGCAGTGCCATTTACCAGACAGAGGATGGCAGGAGGGACCGGCCTGGAGTAGAAAAGAAGTTCTGGGGTCAGGGCGAGTCCGAGGTACCTGTGGAACACGCTCCCACCAGGCAGTTATGCAGCTTGGGGCTTAAGAAGGGCCGAGCTGGAGCTCTAGCGGAGTGGGCCAAACCTGCTGGGAGGTGAGGCCATGAACGCGGGGGCAAGATTTG